GTCCCACCTTCACAAACACAAAACCTCAAATGCAAAACCAGAACCAGAGTGTCATTTCCAAGTCTAAAATGGTCTGTGCTTGTGTATTTCGTTGAACAGATTCAGAATAAGCTCTGCTGCTGTGGCTGGTTCTGAATGCATTCAAAAAACCCTATCCATCTGAGACTAGGGCAGAGGGTCAAGTGTCAGAAAGTGACATACTTCAATGAAAAGAATGTAATAAAAGCTAATGTGGGAATTCCATTCCTTCTGGCATCAAGAGGCAGATTGACTCATGTTTTAGTTTCCTGGCTAAGCACTGAATAATGAAAGGCCGAGTGCGGCTGCGATCCAGAGCCTCTACGTGCCAGGAAGTCCTGACCTTACCTCATGCCCTGCTATGATGGAAAATGGTAATGGGAAGCTTTCAGCTGCTCACGAGCCTGCATGACTCTGACTGATGTACAGACCTGTATCCGGGAGGAGGTGGGAGCAGAATTCTGATCATTTTTTAAACTGTGTTGAGAAGCCATCATAAGCCTCAGACTTACTATTTAGAATCCAACCCAGGACAGCTTGCTTGGTGACTTGACTTGAGCTGGTCAAGTAACATTTTGTAGAGCAATAGCAATGACGGGGGGAAGGCGCCTGGGCTGGAGTGCAGGATCACAGCCTTCCCGTCCTCCCCTGCGGTCACTCCTGAGAGGCGGCCACGCCCACTGCCTGCCCAGGAAGCCCTTCGCTGAACGTGGACGACAGGAAGCCTGGGGGCCAGACAGCAGCGCCATCCCTGGGCAGGATCCCACAAGGCTCATGAAGCCAGCCCGCATAGTGGACACAAGACCCCCCTACGAGGCAGCTGCCTCTGGGCGTGGTGCCCCAAAGTGAGGGGTCCAATGTGCAGATCCCCAGAAATGCCAAGGCTGGAACCATCTCTGCTTTCCCACCCAGCAAGACGGGAAGCAGAAGCGATGGCAACAGGGTGTGGGAAGACTGGGAAAAGCAGTTTCCGGTCTTTTGGTGGACAATAACCATCAAACAGAAAAAAAAACCAAAACCCTCTTTTTCAAATAGAAAAAGATAAAAAGAGAATGGTTTCAGAGACCTAGTCATTCACCAGACTTTTCCTGAAACCACACGGAGGAAAAGGCACAGTCAGGACACTTATAGTTGGCAAACACTCTGTCTTCACATGGCCAAGAAAGCAGGGTATCGTGAGGGCAGTGGAATGAGGGAGCCACCCTCTGCCAGAAACCCGCCCACCTCTACACAGGTTATCGGGCTTACGGAGGGAGACCTGAGTGTTCTTATAAATGCTTTATAATGTAAAAGTGGATGGGGAAGAACAGAAAAGGTGCTATCACAGGTATCTTTCCATTCATTTTCTTGTCCCTTGCTATGCCCACATGCAGAAAATAAACCTGTGCCCTCCTCCTCAAAAGTCAATAAAGTCCCCACATGGAATTTGTCGAGTTTACATTATAAAGAATCCCTTCACTTGATGTGCATGGCTACAGAGAAGAGAGATTCCTCTTCGGCCACTGCAGAAACAGCATATATGCTTCCAGAAAACATACATGGCAACAGGTACAGACCTCTGCCGTAGAAGGGCTCAGCTCTCTCTGAGAATTCAGCTAAGGGCCATTCTCTCCCCTTGGTTCGGGGTGTTGCTCCTGGAACTTGGGCTGGGTTCTGAGAAGGCTCTGGCTGCCAGTGGTGGAAGGGATACCAAGTCACTACTGACTTCTGAGGAGCCATGGGAAGCTGTTACCATGGTGATCACCATCGGTTCTGCTCAACTGAGCCTTTGCAGAAGCCTTAGTATGGCGAGATTCAATTTCAAGTGGGGAGAGAGAGGGCAGGAGTAACGTTATGTGAATGGTGGACATTCCTAGGGGAAAAAATATGGGAAATGACAATGGAAGCTGCATCCAGAGGGAGGGAGGTCCTTGACAAGCCTATAGAAAGACTCACATGTGCTTCCTGCGGGCCTGAGCCCCTGACCCTGCCATGCAGTGGGACACAGGACTTATTTCGATGTCAACTTACCCCAGGTTAGGCCCTCACTCTGCTGGCAGGGGAAACTCTGGCTAGCCCTACTGAAATGATGAGATAGCTGAATTCTCTGGGCCCTTAATGAGGAAGGGGAGGGGAAAGAATTAGGAAACACGAGCACATGAGCAAGAGACGGCATTACCTGGATCCCAGCAAGCGTGACGAAGGCCAGAGGAGATGGGGAGTGTCCCATAAGCAGGAGAAAGGGGAGAGGAGTTATGCATGGCAAGCTTAGAAGGATGCTAACAAAAGAGAGAGTGTGGATGGAGAAGGATGAGCCAGTTCCATTTACACTTTGGAGAGAAATGAAAAAAAAATTGGATAAGTGACATCACTAAAAGCAAGCAATGGATCAAAAATACTCAATCCATCACATATGTGTGGATTCCAGAACCAGAGGAATCCTGGGGTCACCTGCACTGTACCTGGTCTGAGGACCAACAGAGAGGCTTCGGCTCCGGGGCTGTTAAGGCTTCCCCCTGCCGCCAGCACCAAAGCTACCACCGCCATGTTTCAAAGAGGCAGAGAGAAAGAACAAGACAGATGACACCCCTCCAGCCCATCATCACTGCTCTGGATCGGAGGAGAGAGCTGCACTGCGGACACGAGGCAGGCATGCACAGAGCCTTCCTTTAACACACAGCTCCTCCCCACCGGCACCAACACAGGCCAGGTGTGTGTGGACGATAACCAAGTCTTGGAAACCGGCCGGTGTTCATCTTCAACTATTTGCATCCATTATGCATCAACATATTTTGCTGCATAGTCATACTTCACGACGTGGTGGAGAATGGAAGCATAAGGAAGAGAATTCACATTTACTGATCACTTTGGGTCAGGCCCTGGGCTAAGTGCTTGAAACACATCATTCTGCTTCCTTGTCAGAGATGAGAAATGAAAGTTAAACGGGTTAATACCTTGCTATGTTGCTCTAGGCCATGAAGTTGGTAAGTGGAGGAGCTGGGCTTTCCTGACTCCACAGCCCACCCCCTCCCTCCCACTCTGCCCTGTGACCCCATGAGCTCTGTTCTCCCTCAAGATGGGGTGGCCTCCTTTCTATACGCTTCTCTCTCTTTGTCCTCTATTTCTTCAGGGCAAAAACTTATTTTTACTGAGATCAAAACAAGAGACAACAATAGGATGAATAATGTACACAAATGAATTGGTAAAATGAGACAGGAGCTTGATTTTAAAAACTGAAGGGTAAGATTTATCTCTAACAAAAATGGCAGATCTCCTTAGGACAAAGGCAGTCTTTGGTAATTTTTTCCATGGAGGAGGGGGAAGAGGGGCTGGGAGTCCCCTTAGCAGAGCCAGAGTTGCTTTTATTTTTATCTTGCCCTGACAGTCCACACAGGGACCAGATTTCGTGAAATCTCCTTGGGAACAGTTCAGTTCAGTCACACAATCTTGTCCAATTCTTTGTGACTCCATTGACTGCAGCATGCCAGGATTCCCTGTCCATCACCAATTCCTGGAGCTTGCTCAAACTCATGGCCATCAAGTCGGTGATGCCATCCAACCATCTCATCCTCTGTCATCCCCTTCTCCTCCTGCCTTCAATCGTTTGCTTCCTTGTGAAGGTCATGAGTGACTCCACGTGACTCTAATAGGGTTAATACACTGGTGCACATAAGGACAAGGGACACTGGAGTTGTCCTGATGGCCAGCCCAGCTCAGGGTCACAAGTCACATTCAGCCTGGTTCTCCTTTGGAGGGTCACCCCTGGCTGGGGCAGCAATGGACACATTCTACTTCCAGGTTCTGGGAGGTCTCAAATTCTTAGCACACCTGGGGACCTTTCATCTCTCCTACAGACAGAGAGTTCTCCAATTTCAGTCACTTGAGGAACATTCTTAACTCTTCTCCCATTTCTTTCTCTGACAGAATGGATAGGGATGGAAGCTGGCAGTGTCTGGGGAGAACGTAGGATGGGTGATCCAAACTTGACCACTTGGACCAGGAAGGTCAAGTCTATGGAGTTGCCTTGTTCCTTCCCTTTTGCAGCTGCCATCAATGACAACAGGTCCCACATGCCTTCCTTGTGCCACATCACACTGTGTAGCTTGTCTTGCCTAGATGACTTGGCGTTCTCCTCTACTCAGAGAGGCTGGAGGGAATTCTACTGTCCCACTGGGAGCGGGTGAAGCCACTCTGACAGTGGAACAAGGTCCAGACAGAGCCCAGAAGGCTGTCATTCATCTTCTGGGGCCCTCTACCCACCAGCTGAAGGAAAAGGCACTGACAATACGCCTACTTCCTAGCTATACCCTGGAGGGCTAGGAGAGCCCTTTCCTGGAAACATTTTTTTTTCAATGTTCAAAAAAAAACATTTTTTTTTTCAATGATAAAAAAAAAAATCCCCTAACATAATGAACATAGTTAGCTACCTGAATGGTTTAAGACTGTTTTCCTAAGTATGCTACCAAGGAAGGTTGGAAAAGTCTTTCCTTCAGGAGTTTCACATATTAACATGGTTCTTATGTCCCTGGAATAGCTCTGGGGGATTCCTGCTCATGAGCAGAGAATTTCCTCATGCCCAGGACTCTGTGGTCCCCAACTCTGTTCTACCTGCCTCATTTTTCTTTCAAGTGGATCCTTTATTGACAGAATTAAGAAATGCAAGGATATACCAGTTGTCCCTGGTCCCACCCTGAATCCATGGGGGAACACAGGTGAGTGCTGTCCAGGCTCATTCATCTCAACTCGAAGGGAGGGACACCAGGGCCTTTGACTTCTCCCTAGAGTCTTGCCCTGCTCTCCGTTCACTAGACCTACTCATTCGGGGCAGGTTAGCTGAAGCTGTAAGGCTCTTGGGAGCTCTGCTGAGGGGCAACTGGGAAGCAGACTCCCAGGGCAGTATTCGCTGGCACCACTGAATGAACTGACCCTGGAGAAGCCCTTAGATCAGCCAGTCTCAGGAAAGAAGGAGGGAAGGAAAACGGATGAGAAAAAGAGTTACTTACGCCAGAGCAAAGGCCACCAATGCACCAACCACCACCACGAAGTCCAGGATATTCCACAGGTCTCGGAAGTAGGAGCCGTCCTGCAGAATCAAGCCCTGGTCTATCATCTGCAGGAGAAGGATGGGAACAGCCACCAATGAGCCCCAAGGTGCTGGTCATATGGGCCCTGAGCTCTGGGCTCCGCACGGCAGTGTCTCCATTGTCACTGCCTCTAACCCAACCCCACATGAGGATCCGAAGAGCAGAAGGACAAGCCCCAAGGGCTCTCCCCACTGAACTGTGAGGCCCGAGGCCCTTTGCAGAGCCACCAGGGCACCCACTCCTTGGCTCCCAGCACCCCGCCACAGCCCTCCCTTTCATTAGTGGCTCAGAGCGCCAGGCATTACCACATACGCACATCTGGGAACAATCCCAGATGGGTGAGGCTGGGAACAAGATAGAAATGCAGGGTGTGAGGGTGGCGGGGAACAGACTGGAGGGCAGTGAGTACGGCTGGGACTATACAAGGCCAGGAAGATTCATGCCTACCTAAGCCTTGGCTGGGACACTGGCTCAACCAGGAAGTGTGATGGGGAAGTGAGAACAGTCCCCACCCCTGCGGGACTCCCACTGCCCACCTGGGAGGGACGTGACTCCTCCCCGGGCCATGCCCACAGGTCTGCGCCAGTCTAAGGAGAGCCACGTGGTCACGTCCTGCCACGGCGGACCTCGCCAGGATCTGAGACTGGAGGAGGGCTCGGCAGAGGCCTTCCTGAGGTTCTGTCATTGGCCAGGAGGTGACAGCCCTGGGGAAGGGCACTGTCCTAGAGGCACGGACGGGTGACCCCTGCAGCCCCGGAGTCCAGGTGTGCTCCAGTGGTTCTTACCTTTATAACCATCTCAAAGGTGAACACGCCAGTGAACACATAGTCAAAATACCTCAGCACCTGCAGGACACATAGTGGAGACCATCAGGCTACAGGCACTCCTCAAACACAGGCTCTCCTGCATGCCCACCCCAAGGCCCGCTCATTTCAACGTCAGACCAGAAGCCCGGAGTTAACAACTGCTAACTGATGCAGGGAGGAGAGGAGTCACGGATGCTGCTGGGACCGCGTGATCTGGTGGCCAGTCCTTGGCCTTTCCCTGCCTCTGTTAAGTGGTCAGAACTTAACATCTTGGGTCTGAATTGCCCCACAGATTTCTCCCCTGCTGGGATCTTTGTCAGTTCCAATCCTCCCCACCCCCTCATCCCTCCTGATATCCATCCTGGGCCTCCACAGGTTGTTTCAGCTCCCCATGTGGAGCTGCAGGGCCCCAACTGCCCCTAGGTCAGACTCCACATCCAACACATGGATGGCAGCAGTTGTGGTTGAGTCAGTCAGTCGTGCTCAACGTATTGCAACCCCATGGAGTGCAGCCTGCCAGGCTCCTCCATCCGTGGGATTTCCCAGGCAAGAATACTGGAGTGGATTGCCATTTCCTGATCCAGGGGATCTTCCCGACCCAGGGATTGAACCTGCATCTTCTGCATGGCAGAATTCTTTACCACTAAGCCATCATGGAAGCCCCTTTCAAAGCCCTGGCTGGCTCTCGGGGTAAGGCCCCACTGCTGAGCCTAAAGGTAAGCAGTATGGTTGGGGAGTTAGGGTTGGGGTGGGGGCTGGTCTTGAAATGGTTCCTACTTTGCCCCGAGGAACAGGATTGGGCAATTTCTTAAGCCTGTCCCATCCTCCAGGAGGCTTCCTTAGCTCATTCTAATGTTGGAATGGTAGGCTCTGGGAGAGGGGAGTAGCAGGGTACCATGGAGGCTGGCAAAGAGCCTCTGTGCACGCACTTTGTTGCGCTCTGAGTTGGTCAGGACGGGGTCCTCGGCTGCCAGGGCGATGCTGCTGGCTGCGATCACCAGGAGGATGCACATCTCAAAGTAGCGCAGGTTCACAATGTAGTGGCAGGCCCTGCGGATCCTGTGGGCAGCAGACGAGCCCACTGAGCCAGCCCCGCTTCCCTCCCATCCCATCCTTCCGCCCCACCCCCATACACATCAGCCTCCTCCAGACAGCCAGGCCCTGGCCAGAGGAAGCCGTGGGGAGAGCAATTTAATTTCTCAGGCACCACCCTTGATTTAAAGCCCCACTGGGGGAAAGTAATCAGATTGGTTAGAGACTGCAGTATGCAAGCCAAGACACATTATCTGCATGCGCATCTGAGCCACCGTGGGGAGCAGCAGCCAGCATCAAAAGACACACGCTTGGGTGGCTACACATTGCCTTCCACTGTGCCTCAGTGTCTGCTCCCCCACGGTACAGAGACCGGGGCAGAGCAAGAAAATCCTAAGAACCCAGAAACATAAGACAGACCTTGATTCTAAGATTCCTGATGAAAGCAGCAACTGGTTTTCCCAAGCTGCAGGTATTCTGATCAAAGTGACTATTTTATAGACTGACTGCATCCTGGCCTCGGTTGGCCAGACATCTCTTTGCTCAGGTTCCTTCCTTCCCAGGGCCATGCCAGAATACTGCCCACATGGTCACTGAAAGCCTTCTCGAGTCTTCTGAGACCCTGAAGCTGGTCTACGTATACATCTTGCTCACTTCCTGGGCCGAAGGCAGTTTCTCTTTCAACATCCCATCTTTCCTGAATCTAACCTTCCAGATTCTTCCTTGCCCACCTCATCTCACAGCCCTGACTCTGCTCTGAGGAACACACCCACTTCAAAACTGATATGCAGGGCAGCCAATGGATGATCCAGTTATCCTAAGCTTCCTATTCTCAGCTCAGCCCACCTCTGGAATATTTGGTGACACAGCCCAAGTAGATGTCCTCCCTTCCCAACCTTCCCTGCAACCTACTAACCAAAGAATAGATGAAGGGTCCTTTCCTCTGACATTGCTCATGTTCTATCTTAAATGACTGTTTAGACTATGGGCACAGAGTTCAGAGGCTGCTCATTAATTCCATGACGCACCTCAACTAGTGAACACCCTGGAGGCTTTATCTGGCCATACTCCACCAGGAAGGCTCAGGAGGACAGCTGGACCTTCATCCCTCCTTCCCATCCCCCTGCCCTGGCTCAAAACCTCCAGCACCAAAGGAAGGTGGCAATGAAGGGTGTCTTACGGGTTGGTGGTGCTGAAGATGAACATCGAGCTGTGAGGCACCATGGCTTTGCCCGTCTCACGCTTCTCCTTCTTCGGCTGCTTCTTCTCCACCTCCTCCTCATCCTCTCTGATCTCTGCCTCTTTCAAGGGACTGGCTTCTCCATCAGTCTTGTTGCTGACTGCAAGGAGAATGTGTGGAACTCTTCAAAAACCTTGCTACATGCAGAAAGGCGCCCTTCCTTTTCCACTGGGGATGGGACGAGAAGGTGGGAGAGGGAGCTAGGTACCTGTGAACGTCCGGGTGTCTGTTAAATTACACTGAGTGAAGCCCAGGCTCTCTTCCTAGCCTTACCCCTGCCCTAATTTCAGGTGGGAGAGCCTTTTGTGCCATATAAATGACAATCCCGTTTCCCTAGGTAAAAGAGAATGGCTGTTTCTGTTGTAAAGTTTAGAAACTTACTTCTATCTAAAATCTGGCTTCTTTGTATATATTTACTTAGGGCATTCTTCACGTTGGTACACCTCAACGGCGTATATTATTATTCCCCTTCTGCAGATGGGAAAACTGAAGTTCAGGGAATTCAAGGACCTTCCCTAAGGCCATACAACTGGTGGCATGCTTATTGGCTCAGCCACCGAGGATTCTTTGTGACCCCATGGACTGTAGCCCACCAGGCTCCTTGTCCATGGGGATTCTCCAGGCAAGAATACTAGAGTGGGTTGCCATGCCCTCTTCCAGGGGATCTTCCCGACCCAAGGATTGAACCCAGGTCTCCCTCATTGCAGGTGGATTCTTTACCATCTGAGCCACCAGGGAAGCCCAAGAATAATGGAGTGGGCAGCCTGTCCCTTCTACAAGGGATCTTCCTAACCCAGGAATCGAACCGGGGTCTCCCACATTGCAGGCAGATTCTTTACCAGCTGAGCTACCAGGGAAGCCCCATACAGCTAGTATACATTCCTGATTCAAAATTCTATCTCTTTTCAATGAAACTACACTGCAATGGAAGATTTTAAGAAGCCCTGACTCTGTGGCTGCCCTTCTGGCTGTTCTTGTTCCAGTCCTGATTAATGCAGAAATGAGAATGCAATATTCATGGGAAGATGGGCCTATGACTTCTCCCAGGATCGAGAGGATGAAGAAGCAGAGACCAAGAGGGGCTGCTGGGCCTCTACTCTATTTCCACGTGGAAGGCCCAGTGCGGGGTGAGTGGCAGAGGATGAGGCCATCAGAGTGGGGCACGGGCACCTCTCCCACATTCCCATTCAGTAAACAGTTCTGCCCTGGAGCCTTGTGTAAGTAGCAAACCTCCAAAGTCCTGACCCCTTCCAGGTCCTTCCAAAAGGCAAGTCATCCAAAGCGTCCAAAACCCCTCTGATAACACACTCTTACCTACGACCAAGGTCAGGGACTAGCCCCAGAATGAGAACAGAAGAGGGTCAAACTTTCTTAACGTTGTGTCTCAAAAGAGTGTGTGTCAGTTGCTCAGTCGTGTCCAACTCTTTGTGACCCCACGGACTGCAGCCCGCCAGGCTCCTCTGTCCATGGAATTCTGCAGGCAAGAATACTGGAGTGGGCTGCCATCCCCTACTCCAGGGGATCTTCTCGACCCGGGGATGGAACCCAGGTCTCCTGCATTGCAGGCAGATTCTTCCCTGAGCCACCAGGGAAGCCCAACCCTCTTTTATGAGACACACACTACTACGACCCTCATAAAAGAGGGTCCAAAAACACTTCCTTATTAGAGCACGAAATTAAACAAGACAGCAGGGGTTACTGGACATGGGAGATTATAAAGTAGTACTGGCATTCCGAAGAATACTTTGAGAAGTATTTCACTTTGAGAAGGTGAAGTGAGACAGAGCAGTGAAAGAAAGAAAAATAGGGAAAGAGGACTGTTTCATGAAAAGAATAAAAATATGGGGGGAAAAAGCAAGAGTGGAATCTGGTGGTCACAATTCAGTGCCAAGCAGACAGATGGTGGTGGGGTTATATAGAGATGGGCGTGGGGTCAGGCACAGATGGGTATGGGGTAAGTGCTTTGGGGATGTGTTTCCCTTTAAGGCCTCACAGATGAATATCTACCACCTCCGGGAACTGTGAGAGAAAGTGTGACTAAAAGCTCCTAGGAGAAAGACAGTCAATATGAGTAAAACATTCAAGAAATGTTAGCACAGAGGAAGGTCTCAGAGGTCATCTCGTTCAATGCTCTCACTTCACAGATGATAAACTGAGGCCTCAAGACAGACAGGGTTTTTGGAGGCCACATGTTGAGCAGAACCAGGGCCAACGTGGGCGGGCCTGCCAGCAATGGTCCCCTAACTTATCAGGTGGCTGAGCACCTGGGCGAGGGGCGGCCCAGAGAATATGCCATCAGATATCCACAAAATAAATTAAGTAGCTGAATAGACAAAGGGGTACAGAATCATATGTGAACTCTCTGAAGACTCCAGGGGGGCCATGGCTGAACGACATTTTATGGGTAAAACTTAAGATTGAGAAAATTCTAGCTTAGTTCTCTTGCTGCTGCCGCTGCTGCTAAGTCGCTTCAGTCGTGTCTGACTCTGTGCAACCCCATAGACAATAACCCACCAGGCTCCCCCATCCCTGGGATCCTCCAGACAAGAATACTGGAGTGGGTTGCCATTTCCTTCTCCAAGTTCTCTTGCAAACGGGGCTAAAACTGCTGCTATTCTTTCATATGTTGAAGAAGGAGTCCATCCCACTGGTGGGGTTTTCCTTGCAGCTTTCCCAGGACAGTTCCAGAACCATGCCTCCGCCAGCCTTGGGGGGTTGTGGGTGGTGTGGGGGAAGGGGAATGGGCCGTGTCCTCACTGTGCACCACGGTTGAGTCCACCATGGGGCCCACGTCGGGGATGGTGACAGTGACGCTGGTGCTCTCGGTGGTGGCCTTGTCCATGTTGGCCGTGACGCAGGAGAGGTCCGGCTCGCTCTGGCTGACCCGGCCCATGTCCAGCTGCACATCCCCCAGCAGAGCCTGCTCACTGCTGCCCTCTGGCTCCTGCTCCTGCGTCAGGGCCGAGTTTTTTCCCACTTCCAGCTCTGGCTGGGGCCGGACAAGGGGTGTGTCGGCCTCATCCAGGGCTCCTGCCAGCCCGGAGCCTCTGGGCACCATCAGACTGTTGGTCCTGTGAAGACAGAGGAGAAGACAGCTGCTGCTCACATCAGGAAGTGATTCTGAAATGGTTGCTGTGCCTGGCAAGAGCAAAGGGTGAGGGGAGTCATGTGGCCCTGCTGGAGAGCACATGGCACCCGCTATCTGCCCCCTCAGCGGGCAGAGGAGCTGAGGTCCACTGGGGCGGCATCCATCAGCTCACTCCTGCCCATCATGCCCTCCCCACTCCAACAGAATATGCCCTGGTTTCCAGGGGAACAGATCTCACTGCTATTGTATTGACACAAACCTCGTAAAAGGTGCATAATACAGAAGGGGAAACTGAGGTCCAGAAAGGCGTACACTGAAGAACCCCTAACGCGGGCCACACTACCTGTCTCCAGGGCGCTCCTACATCACATTTACCTCCGTAAGTCCTGGGATCGCTCTCGCTCTTCCTCCTGGATCATGGGTTCTTTGCCCCCGTGGCCGGCCCTGGGCTCGCGGTCCCTTTCCCCCTCACCAGGCACAGCTTCGTCCAGACTCCGCTCCTGGCTGGCGGACCTGCTCCTGGAGGCGGAGGAGGGCTCCCTGCCCTCGGTCCTGACACGACGGTGCCGGCTGCGGCGCTGGCTCTGCCTGTGCCGGGCCCGCTCCTCGAAGGTCACCACCGTCTCCCCGCCGCCCGCCTCTGGCTGGGTCGGGTCGCAGTTCCCGTGACAGGGCCGGGCCAGCCAGGGCGGCTCCCGTTTGCCTAGGGCCAGGGGGCTCCTCTGGCTGTCCAGGGCGCTCGCCAGGTCCCCGCTGTCCCCCTTGAGGGACCCCCCGCGGCTGACTCGCTCTTCCTCACACTTCTCCAGCCCCAGGCCCAGGGCGAGCCCCTCAATGGGCCGGGGTCTCCGGTAGAGGCTGGGGTGCGCATTGAGTGGGTTGAGGGGGCTCAGCGGGTTGAGGGGGTTGAGGGGGTTCATGGGCGGGGCCTCCTCCTTGTTGAGGGCCTCCTGGCTGGACATCTGCATGTGCCTCCTCAGCTGGCTGGTTCGCTGTTCCCACACGGACATGTGATGCCGGCGCCTCCGCTCCCTCCTGGCAAGGGGGAGAAGGCGAGGCCAAGGTCAGAGCTGCTGGCCAAGGGCCGGGGAAGGTGGCCACAGGGGTCCAGACCAGCCCGCGGTGGCCAGGGCACGGGGTCGGGGGGAAACACATGGTGGGGGAGCAAATGGGAGAGCCCAGGACCTGCAGACAGGAAGCACAGAAAAATGCGAGGGGCAGAGTGGGTGGTTGGACCGGTGCCCCCCAGTTTTGTGGGGTCTCCCGCTCTGATCCCTGCCCTGAAGTAGCTGAGTCGGGGTGGGGGCAGCCCAGGACTGAGTCCCAGTGGCCAGGACCTGCAGACAGTGGTACGAAGGTTGCCAGGTCTTCACTCCCCGCTCCCCTTTGCTTTCAGGGCATCAATCTGTGCTCGCTCTGTGCGCACCAATGGCCCTTAGTTCAAGGTCAGAGGCCTTTCTTCCTCCTGCTCTCCCTCTTTCCCTTTCCCATGCCAGCCCGGGAGAGCCAGGTCTGAGAAGTTCAAGGGCAGGTCCTACTAAAGGGAGATTGATGACAGCAGGAGCAGACCCAAGTTACAAAAAGTTTGGGCATGACCCTCGTGGTGATGCGGTGGGGTCTCTTCCACAACCACTGATAAAATCCAAGGGACTCTATGTCCAGGGACCATGAGCAGCTCATACTCAAAACCACCGCTGAACAGTTCAGCTTGGAGGCCTAGCTGACCATTCACGTGGCAGCAGGAAGCACAAACGTGACACAGGGTGGGCTTCCACGGGTGGTGGAGGGTGGACGCCTACACCTGCACCCCCAGGCGCCCATGGGTGCACATCTAGAGCCTGTGCAGGGGACGCTCACAGGTGCCCATGTGCATCCTCACTGGGGCCCACACAAACTTTCCACAAGCGCCCGCATGAAAGGCACCCCACTGGCACAAACAACCCACGCCAACACATGTCCACTCACAGGCCACACGGAAGAGCAAACTACACACGGGGTCACATACCTGAGACGCACACCGAGAAAGGCACATGGTGAAAGGTGCGGAGGGGCAGATCCACAAACCATGTGCACGGAACGCACACGCACACGCCACGGCCCACACGGACACGTGCACGCCCGGTGCCACTCTGTCCCCGGCAAGGACAAAGACACGGTGTCCCCGCACCCACACGTAACCACTCACAAACACGCAGACCGGCGCACACATACAGGTGGCTGCTGCGTGGCTCCCACATCGACATGTGGTGTCTTCTCCTCCTGTCTCTTCTGGGGAAGAAAAATGGACAGGTTCAGTTCACCCCCACCTCTAGGACCCGCCAGCCCCTTGGCCACCAGCCGATCTCCAGGGAGAGGCACAGAATCCCCTAGGTACCTGCTGCCCTCTGAACACGCCCAACCGTCAACTCTCCAAGGGACTGGCCTTGGTGCCTTGCTGTGTGCAAACACACGGACCAAATATATTGAAGCGAACATGCAGGCACGCACAGGGTTTATCAATTCATAGACGCTTTGGACGCTCAGTCATCAAGCCCTGCTGGCACTCAGGTTTCACCTAAGTGTCCTTCAGAGACCTAATCTGGAAACCCTGTAATCTTGGATGAAGTTCATTTCCCCCTGTTCATACCTAGGATATTCACAAAGGCATGACTCCCTGGCTCATCCCTCCCATCTTACACAACATGCAGGGAACAAATGCTCTAGCGGGCACACTATCGGGCCCATGGCCAAAGGCAGGGCCACCGCTGAATGGGCTGCCACCCGCATCCCTCAGGATGTGAGTGGCGACCCCCGCACGTGTGCACCGTGGTGGCCCTGGCTGAAGGCCTTGGACACTGTCTATTCAGCTGGGTAAAGCAAGTATTACCCTTCCTGGCCTCGCGCAGGGAAAAATCTCTTCTACACACATGCACATGCTATGTCCTCTCGACCACAAGGTCAATGGAAGGTCAATGGTCGGGTGGGGGCATCACCCACAAAGGCAAACAGGAAAAATGAAGCTGTCAGCGCAGGGTCAGTGTTCAGGTGGAGAAAGATGTGCCTGGGACACTTGTGGAATGAGCCTGCCCCGGTTCCTGGGGTGACAAACCCAGTCTGGCCCAACAGACCCTGCCTGGACCTGGGAGGTTGGCAAATGTGGCTCCTTTCCTGATGAAACGGACATCCACCCATGGAAAACACGCAGGGAAACTAGTGCCGCTCAACCGCCACGTCCACATCCGCAGAGCAGCCTGGTCCACGGTGGGCAGGGGGAACAGAGGCAGCTGGTCTGAGCCCAGAGAGGCGCAGGGCACAGGAGCACCCCTGGGATGGATGTGGCCAAGACTGTGGAGACGCCTGTGACTAGGTCCCCAGCACCCCTCAGCACTGGTGGCTGCCACGCACGTGGGGCAGCCATGCCAAGAGGCATGGGGGCACAGAGAAAGAGGCACACACTCTAGACAGGCAGCATGCATGCCCACCAGGAAAAGTACTTTCCACCAGCTATGCAGTGATACCCATGCAGTGATAGCTCTGCAGCTATGCAGGAGACCTGGGTTTGATCCCTGGGTCAGGAAGATGCCCTGGAGAAGGAAATGGCAACCCACTCCAGTCTTCTTGCCTGGAGAATCCCATGGATAGATGACCCTGGCAGGCTACAGTCCATGGAGTCTCAAAGAGTTGGACACAACTGATCAATTAACACTTATACCAGCTACTTGCAAATTCTCAAGTCGTCACACACTGGCCCTCCAGAAGCACACGTGGAAGAGGGTAAATATGTGGAAGAATTCTCTGCATGCTCACAAGTGTGTGCGTACACGTAAACACGCACACAGAGGTCAGGCCAAAAAGAAAACCAAACTCTCATTTCCACACAAACGAGATCCACACTTCAAACTTCACTTCTCCACTTGCACGTACAAAGATCCAGATTCACATCCTATCACAACCATTAGTACATCTTCAACATTCCTACAATCACACAGAGAAGCATCTCCCCAATTCACATACATGTGACCTCACACACACTCAGCAAGGATCATGTGGACCAGGACAGGTGGCTGGTATTCTTCATTCCAAAGATAGAGAAACAGGGACTCTGAGATGCTAAGAGGTTCTCTCTCTAAGGTCACAGCACTGAGGGACAGAGCTATGTCTAGCCCTCAGGTTTTTTGGTTTGTAATAATGTCCTAGCTGCACATTCGCACTCAGTCATACTATAGTCCGGAAGTCAGGGGTCTTGGCCTGCCTGTTCAAACACACTCTGTTGTTCAGCCAGCAGCACACCCATCACCCCCAAAGCCTGGGATGATTACAGCACTCCTCCCGCCTCACTGTGCCCGGATACGCACACAGCTCACTCCCTACGGCCCTGTGCCTACCAGATCTCATTCATTCTTTTATTCCATAAATAGTGAGCTTCCACTCTGGGCCAAGCATCCTTCCCCCTCATATCTCCAAACCCACTCCTCCTCCAGGTTTCCTCATCTCAGGAAATAGAACCACCCACTCCTAAAGTGGCAGCCAGCTCCACCCACCAGCATGTTTGGATACCTGTGTGTATTTATTTTTAGCCCAAACTCATAAGTGCAGGGAAAGTGGGGTAGAAACTGCTTGAGGCTCAGAGAAAATTCTAGGGAGGAAGGAGTCGTTTCATCTTTAATGATCTTTAACGAATTTTGGAGCGAGTTTTTTTTTCTCATTCACAGAGGAGGGGCCCAGAGGCCAGGCCTTCCTTCATTTTTGAAAGGTGAGAACAAGAGGACAGCCATGCAGGGGAGGGGGCCCCCACACATAAGTCTGGAATGTCCCTATAAGGCGAGGCTGAGGACACTGAGAGCCTTTCACATGAGCTCTGGGAAGGGAAGGGCTCCTTGCTGATCAGTTTCAAGTTAACAGATGACAGGGTCTGGGTCCAGCTGGATACAGGTCCAGCTGGCCAGATGCCTCAGACCCTCCCCAGGAATATCCCAGGGCCCCTCACACAGTCCTCATGCAGGCCCAGAAGGCCCAACAGGAATTCAGGGTTCTGTGGTCACTTCTCAGCCTCTCCCCCAAAGCCCTCCCCCAGTGCCACACAGAGGTCAGCTGCCCAAAGGCCCCACGGTCTGCTAGTTCCACCAGCAGCCACCGGGGCCAGGCTGGATCCTCAAAGAGAGTCTACACTGGCTGCTCTAATGTATCACCCCCCATTCTCTCTCTAATCCACTCCAAATGGATTTTGTTCCCACTGGGCCACTTAAACGGCTCTCGTGAAGTTCACTAACAGTGTTCATTTTGCCAAATTCAATGCTCCCTTTTATGTTCTCATTTTACGTGATCTTTCAGTAGTTCTGAGCTCCTCTATCCACCTCCTCCTGCCAGAAGTGTGTTCTTCTCCACGTCTCCAGAACACCCTGCTCACCTCGTGGGTTTCTCCTTGAACACGGGGTGCTCTCTGGCCTCTGACCTCAGCTTCTTAGCCCAGCTCTCCCTGGGTCATCTCTCCTGGGATGCCAGCCTAAATGCTGTCCAAATGCAAATGCTCCCCCCAATCCTTATTTCTAAGGATTAGAATCCTGACTTCTGAGCTTCAGACTCATGTGGCCAACAGCCCATTCAACATCTTCACTTGTTTGTCTTATACGCATCTCAAATTTAATGCCATCAAAAGGAACATTGGATTTCCACCATCTTCAGGTGAGCCGTAAATACCACTACCACCTCTCCAGGCATCAAACCTTAAAACCTGGGAGAAATGTTTGCTTCTCCTTTTTTTTCCCCCCATCTCCACTTCGATCGCATTTATTCCATCAGCTCATCTTATTGGTTCTCCCTCCAAATACAGCCTGAATGAGATGAGTTCTCATCTCCTCTTGCTACTGTCATGGTCTAAACCACCACCAGCTCTCACTGCTTTACTCTGAGAGCCAATCTCTGTTTTCCTGCCTCCAGTCTGGGCCCCTTCAGTCCATTTTTCACAGAGCAAAGTGACCTTTCCAAGTATAAATCAAATCCTACCCATCCTTCTCCTCTAGACCCTCCTACAGTTGTGATCAGAACAAAAGCCAAGTTCTTCACTCGAGCCTTTAGAACCTCCTGGCCACACCTCCTTCTCTTTCCTCTTGCTCCCTCCACACCAGCCACATCAGGGCCTCGCTGGGAATGCTCCATCTTCATAACGTCACACAACCATCTTCTACACATTTAGGTCTCTGCTCAAACATCCTCTCTTCAGAGAACTCCTCCCAAATTGCCCAAAGGTACTGTACCCAATTCCTATTCCTCTGCCTTAGTACCCTGTTTTACTTATTTTATAGTAAAACTATTTCTGTGCATTATCAGCTATCTGCTCACTGAAATAAAAGTTGTGTGAAAAAAGAGACCCTGGCCCTGTCTTGCTCAGTACTGTATTCACAGGATGCTTCCTGGCACAGAGCAGGCTCCCTCCAAGGGTCAACAGCTGTGGAACTGAGCACTAGGCTGTCGACCCAGGAGCCCGGGGTCTGTGACGTGGGGACAGCGACTCACTCGATGGAAGGCATGTTGGGTGCAGACATCGGGCTGACCTCCTTGGCCTTCTGCAGCGCATGCTTCTGGTTGAAGGCCTCCTCTTCTTCCTGTTCATCCTAGACACAAAGTAGAGATGGCGTTGTCTGGGATCCCCATGAAGGACAGTAGCTTCCTCGGCCCTGCCCAGAAGGGCCGAGGGAGCTTCTGAAGACCCGGAGAAGCAAGGAAAGCAGAGAAAGAGGTCAAACAGGCAGAGTGAGGTCTGAGCTCACAGACCTCCAGCAGCTAGCAGTCAGGCCTCCTGAGACAGCAGCCTCCACAGCCCTGGCACGGCTAGCTCTTCTGGCCCCCATCCTGCCCCACAGGCTCCCCATGTTTCCTTAGGAGAGACTTAAGGTCTACCCCAAACCCCAGCCCTCGGTGGAGGTGGCCAGGGCTATAGAGATCAGAGGCCAGAGCTGACGCTTCTTGGATGTTCTGCAGTGTCTGGAAGTGATGGAGAAGGACCTTCCAAGCAGAGACCCTGAGATGAGCGCCGCGATCCTCATCATACCCTCTTCCCTACACAGCTAAGTGACCCCCACCCCGGTGCTCGGGCAGGGACCTCAGCCCCTCACCCACACTCCAGCTTATAAATGTCTTTCTATGTGACAATACCAAGGAAACCCAGTTCAGGTAAAATGACTACAGCTACTAAGAATACATACATCTTCAAAGACTGCTCTGGTTTTTACACACGTCCTTTTGCTTGATCCTTGCTGTCCTCCTGAGAGGTATGCAAGGCAGAATATAGAATTTCCTTTTTTACAGATGAAGGAAGCAACATTAATAGAGACCAGGGGTCAAGTCTAAGCTAAAAGGGCCAGTAGTGACAGATGTGTGACTCACAGCCAGCTTTTCAGCTACTGGAGCTTACCCTGTCTGCAGGTAAGAAGATCCTTGAGAATGCAGAGAAGAGCAGGTAACCCTCAAGAAATACATGGAAAAAGCTCATGAACATCACCAGGATGCTATGGATTTTGCCTTAAAACAAATATGTATTATGCGGGGAGAAGGTTTCACTCATCTCCCTAAACAATCCCACTGCCAGTGTATTGCCGCTACCCCTGAAGACATGACTCAGAGGAAAGAAAGGAACTGTTCTTTGAGAAATATGATGTCTGGCTTCTCTGAAACCCATGGAAACTTCCCCCAAGATGAAGTGAGCACTGGAATACCCCAACAGCCACAGTCCTGGATCCTCTCACCCTCAAACTCAGAAGGGTGAAGGCACATGACTGAGGTCACATAGCCACAGGTCACAGGAGAAGAGGTGGAATTTAAATCCAAGACTCTGGTAGTTTCTCTATTTTCCAAGTCACAAGCCTGCAAAGGCTATTTTTGAGAGTCTGCAGTGACTAAGTGATCATCTTCAATATCCAGTGAGAGACCCGATTTGGTCCAAGGCTCCACAAACTCATTGAAAGTGAACCAGGCTCCCTTCATGGACAAGTGTAGCTCTCCAGGTATCCACGAGCTCCCAGAAGGGGCCTTCCCTGCAGGCCTGAGTCAGGCAGTGCAGGCTTCTGGAGGCAACTCCAAAGCCTAGTAGGCACCCAATGGCCCAGAGAACCACTGGATCCCTGGAGAACAAGGCTCACCTTGGTCAGCTCCTGGGCGTTGGCCAGATTGTCCACAGCGATGGCCAAGAACACATTCAGCAGTGTGTCTGGGGCAATGAGTTAAGGATGGGAAAGTAAGAAAAGTAAAAGGAGCCCCAGCAAGGCTGAGAAGGCATCTCCATGCCTTTCCTGTCTGGGATACCAGCAGGGACAGAGTCACCCCAAAGAGTCACTTAAGCAGGGACTGTAGGGGGAGGGAAAGAGATATTATGCAGCTCTGTTTGAAGGAGAATACGTCTTCTCTCCTTCCACATATCATCTCTTTGCATCAGATAAAGAAATATACCTGAATCAAACCCCCTAGGGAAGGGGGAGATGGAAGGAGGAGGCCTTTGCACAGCCACAGCCTCTAATTACAGCAACATCAAATAGAGAACCACTGAACAACAAGACAGGTAGGGAACAGGAGGTAGGAGTTCTTCTCTCCTTCCCAGGAGGCTGGAATTGAAGCCCATCTAGATCAGTCATGCCAGTCTGACCTTAAAGATGAAAAAAAAAAAAATGAGATTCTACAGACTCATTACTATCTCTCAGTAATGGGATGCTAACATTTCTCAATCTTCTTGTCCTGGGAGGCTCCCGTATTTCATTTAACAAAATGTCTCAGGGCACACAAGATCATTATGGAGCCCATTTCTATTCCACACTCTAACCTCAGAAGTCCCAATTTTCCAATTATCCTCAAGGCTCATGTGTTATGGAACATACATCTGTTTTAGCACAAAAGTCCAGGTCTGACTACCCTCAGAGTAACAGGAAAATTAAGGTGCCGCTATTAAGGCAAACTGGCCTTCCATTTGTGTGACTCACTGCCTAGCTTTCTTTATATGGGTTTCTTGTATTTGTTTATAGTCTGCTCTGGCCCTTAGAAGTTTTCAGAGCAGAAAACTTAAAGGAACATCTATGCTCTGTGAGACTATGGAAAAGGCAAAATTACATCTGCAACACATGGCTGTCCCCTTTTCACTCGAGTGATCTCAATTCAAGATAAGTCCCACTTGCCCAAAACATCATGTAGAAGTTTCTGGTCTGTGGAATATTCAAGTAAACTATCTCATTTTACTATTTACAACTAACAAAGGACATAGATATTGTTTCCTCTTTTCAGATGTGAAAACTAGAAGCTCAGAGAGGTTAAGTGACTTTCCCAAGGCCACACAGCTGGTAAGCAGAGCTGCTGGGATTAAAACCTAAATCTTCCTTGTCTAGATCGCAAGACTAGTCATGGGTTTGGGAATTAAATGCACTTATTTTCTAGTCTCCCATTATAATTTAGTAGTTGACTTTGATCAACTTGTTTCCTCTAAGATTTGTAAGGTAAGGATTAGATGAAATGATGCCTGAAAACCATTTAGTATGAGGTCTTGTGAACAGCACAAGTATGATAAATGCTAGCTATGCTCAGCAGTATTAGCATTGATCACAATGCTAATATTTTTGAGAACTTATTAGGTGGAAGGCTCTGTTCTCTGTTAACATAGAAAACTAACATATGATCCAGAAATGCCACTCCTGGACATAAATCTGGAGAAAACCATAATCTGAAACGATACATGCACCCTAACGTTCACTGCAGCATTATTTACAATAACCAAGACATGGAAGCAACCTAAACATCCATCAACAGATGAATAGATAAAGAAGATATGGGATATTTATACAGTGGAATATTAGTCAGCCATAAAAAATAATGAACTAATGATGTGCAGCAATGTGGATAGACCTACAGAATATCATCTTAAGTGAAGTAAGCCAGACAAAGGCAAATATCATATGATATCACCTATATGTGGAATCATAAAAAAAATGATACATATGAAGTTATATACAGAATAAAAATAGACCCACGGACATAGAAAACAAACTTATGGTTACTACTATTGAAGGGAAAGAGGGGAAGGGATAAATTAGGAGTTTGGGATTAACATACACCCATTACTATAAATAAAACAGAAAACCAACAAAGACCTACTGTATAGCACCCGCAACTATACTTGATATTTTGTAATAACCTATAAAGGAAAAGAGTTATGCATGTATGTATAACTGAAAAACTTTTCTGTACACCTAAAATTAATACAACATTGTAAATCTACTATACTTAAACAAAAATAAATGTTTAAGTAAAAGAAAACATATAATTCATTAATATTATAATCCAGTTATTACTATTTCAGCCTATAATGATCTCTGTCCTCTCTTATTTTCCCCAGTTCATAGTCCCTCCAATCACTTACTATAACAGACTCTTATGATTTTATCTGTGATGATAATCTGATGACCTGGATGTTATGATATCCGATAACTGGGATGATACTCTATCTTACTTATACGCATCTTCTTTTACCCAGATAGCAAATGTTCCTTAAGAGCGGGATCCTTGTTTCTCTTAGCACACCTAACACTGTCTACCCCATTGCTACCTGCCCTCTGTTATCACCAGCATCACCACCACCATGGCCTCCTCCTCCTCACATGCTGGTCCAGGCCGGCAGAACAGAGCAGCATTTTAAAAAGGATACAGTTTCCAAACAAGGTGAGCACAATGAAATAGATAGCAGACCACATGCCCGAGCTGACCCCGCCCTGGGAGCGGATCCCGTTGTACATCACCTCATTCCAGTCCTCACCCGTCAGGATCTACACAAAGGACATAACAGGTTAATCAGAGACCTGGGCTGGATGAGAAAACGGGGGTCAGTGGAAAGGGGAAAATTCTGAGTCTGAGTCTTTTCCATTTACCCTCTTGTCAGGGAGAAAAAAAGTCACACCCATGAATAATCAACTGCCTTCTGAAGTGTAAGAGAATTTTAGCCATTGAAAATGGAAGAAGAATATCAAAAGGAAAAGTTCCATTCCTCAAAACGTAGGATCTCCGGTCTCCCATCCCACACCCCAGCTTTGCCAAGCCTACGGGAACTACTCAGAGCAGGTGGTCCGGGCACTGATGGACTATTCTCTGGAGCTGCCAAGATACAGCTCCTGAGACAGCAGCATTGTTGGAAAGAGCCTCATGGGCTCCAGTTCCAGAAAGCTGAGTTCTGGTTCAGTCTTAGATTCTGGCTAAACAGAGTTCTCCTTTAGCTCTTAGACATCACCGATTTTGAGTTTCCTCCCATGATTAAAAAAAAAAAAAAAAGATCAGGTGGGGGTGGAAAAGATTCTTCATTAAATGGACATACAGGTTAGAAGGTACTTTAAATTTCATAAAACCAGAAATGTGATGTTACTGAATGTCTTTGACTTAATTAACATCTCTTGCAAACTGACAAGTGCAGGGAGGCCAATGAGGTCATCACAACAGAGCTCTTTTATTATTTATGAGAACAGAGCTATAGAAATCCTAGGAATTACAGTGGTGATGACTGCTCAATAAGCAAGAGTACTAAGTACTGCCTGAGAGGAGCCTGGAGAGGAAAGGGAGGATTCTTTTACAACATCATCACCTTGGAGCATGTGCACCAGGGGATCCCAAGTAACATTTTTAACATCCTCATACCTGGAATACAGTCATGATGGCTGCAGGGAAGGTGTCGAAGTTTGCTGAAGGAGTCCCATCGTTAAAGTTGAACCTGAAAAGGAGATTCAGAGAGAATGAAATGAAAAGCTCACACACCAAGTTTTCCCTTCCTAAAATCATGCCATTTTCATCACTCCTTTCCCCTTTCTTCACATCCCTGTCTTCCCCACTCTTCTTCCATTCCAGTAACTTACAAAGATGGTTTTAGTGACTACTACCAGGAACTACCAGGGCTTCCCTGGTGGCTCAGAGGTTAAAGCCTGCCTGCAATGCGGGAGACCGGGGTTCAATCCCTGGGTCGGGAAGATCCCCTGGAGAAGGAAATGGCAACCCACTCCAGTATCCTTGCCTGGAGAATCCCATGGACAGAGGAGCCTGGTGGGCTACAGTCCATGGGGTCGCAAAGAGTCGGACACGACTGAGCGACTTCACTTTCACTTCACCAGGAACTGTGCTCTTGAAGGGCACTGGTGATGAGATCTGGACTGATCTTGACTCGTAAGACCCCAAGCTTTCAGAGGCAGCTCCAAAGGGGCACCTTTCAGGGGCAGCTCCAAAGGGAGAGGTCCCCTCAGTAAGAACCCCATATGGTGTGGAGGGATTAAAAACAGAGACATTAGTTTCACACATAACATGCATGGTTGATATGGGCCATGAACACAAACACCTGGTAACATGGTGAACAAACTGGTGACCCCAGAGCTCACAGGACGAAGTTGAGGTTTTGAGGCTGCTTTGGCTGGAAACTTCATTGGTGCTTACCTGCCCCCAAACAGCTGCATTCCTAGGAGAGCAAAGACAACGATGAAGAGGAAAAGGAGGAAGAGTAAACTGATGATAGACTTCATGGAACTCATCAAGGAAACCACCAAATTCCGGAGGGATGCCCAATACCTACAAAAACCCAGACAGCGTTACAGTGGCAAGTTCAGTCAGTTCAGTTCAGTTGCTCAGTCGTGTCCGACTCTTTGCGACCCCATGAACCGCAGCACGCCAGGCCTTCCTGTCCATCACCAACTCCCGGAGTCCACCCAAACCCATGTCCATTGTGTCGGTGATGCCATCCAACTATCTCATCCTCTGTTGTCCCCTTCTCCTCCTGCCCTCAATCTTCCCCAGCATCAGGGTCTTTTCAAATGAGTCAGCTCTCCACATCAGGTGGCCAAAGTATTGGAGCTTCAACTTCAACATCAGTCCCTCCAATGAACACCCAGGACTGATCTCCTTTAGGATGGACTGGTTACAGCGGCAAACTGAGTACCAAATTACCCTCAGGCTCAGCTGGGCATCTGCCTGGAGACCTATGAGATAAGCTGCATCTGGACACTTGTAGGAAGGAGAGATGGAGCGATAATGTGGGTCCCCTCAGGAAGCTGGCACAGGATCTGGCACTCAGGCATTTTCCTGGTTTGGTCTTTGGAGATGGAAGAGAAGCTGAAGAGTGGAGTAGGGGGTGGGGTAAGGAAATGGATCCTGTGGTGAGGATGTAAGGCAATATAATGTGTCAGAGAGGAGCTTCCAAGCCCAGAGGTGGTTGGGAAGAGTCTAGATTTTGATCACTTACTTGGTTATTTTAAATATTCTTAGAAGCCGGAGAGCTCGCAGGACACTGATTCCGAAAGATGTACCAGGTCTGAAGATGGCCCAGACTACTTCAAAGATGCTGCCCACTGTGACCTAAAGAGCCAAAGCCAGCCATGGTGAGAAGAAAAGGCAAAGAGGGGAGGAGGGGGAGGGGGGGAAGGGGAAGGAGGTATTCCTCAATCAACAGTTCTCACTGGGCTTTTCTGAAGTTAAATCTTTCCCTCCCCACCCTGCCTCCCTCCAATCATCTTCTTCAAAAGTCGCTCAGTCCTGTCTGACTCTTTGCGACCCTGTGGACTATACAGCCCCTGAAATTTTCCAGGCCACAATACTGGACTGGGTAGCCATGCCCTTCTCTAGGGGGTCTTCTAAACCCAGGGATCGAGCCCAGGTCTCCCACATTGCAGGCGGATTCTTTACCAGCTAAGCCATCAGGGAAGCCCACCTCCAACAGGACCACCTATTTGTGAAGGCTGCCAAGGAAAAATGAGACTCTACCACTTTTCTCCCCACTGTTCCCCACTCTCCTTGCTAAATTTCCTCCTTCATACTGTAGATTGCTTTACCGACTGCTCTGTCTTTCCTGAAAACTACAAGTCATTCACCACTCCTGCACAGATTTGACAGCTATACTGTTCTTATTAAAACACCTTGAACAGACAGACAAAAGAGCAGTCCTCAAATAAAACAAATTTAAATGAATATAGGTTACTTTTCAATATAAAAACTTCTGGGAAGGTCCACATTCTCTCACTGGCCTAGAATTTAGTGCTACCAAGAACGTTTCAGTCACCTGTGCATGAAATGGCTTTCAGTCACTCAGGCCCCACACACCTGGATGTGATGGTACTAATTAGTGGCACAGAATCTGATTGCCATAGGAAGCAGCAATGTCAAATTAGCCATTCAATTTGTTTTATGTTTTAATTATATGTTTATTGAAGGTCTAATACATTCCCCACATCGCACTAGGAGAAATAACAGAAATTAATCCTCACAGCAATGCTGAAAAGTATGTACATAAGGGAACTAAGATAAAAATGGTCTTTCACTAGTTCTTATGCCTGAAAATTGCCTCTACCCAGAAGCATATGTTCCAAGTTAAAATGCAGGTTGGCAAGTGCTCAAAATCGTTAGCACCTAACTGGAGATTTGGCAGAAAATGAAGTGGGTTTGGCAGAAGGAGAGGTGGTTCAGGAACCCAAAGTTTTGCAACCTAGTTCTGCTGCTAACTGGCTGTGTGAACTTGCACACGAGGTCCTCTGTTGACTCATGTGTAAATGGGTAGCCTAACTCCCAATACTTAACGTCGTGGGCAGGACTGAAAGTGGCAGAGGACAAAAATGTGTGTGAAAACACCTTGAAGAGCATTGATAATGCACACATTCATGTATCGTCATTATTTAGGAATGTGGACATTGGGTGAAGTCTATGTGGGGACTTGCTAATATAAGAGGGTGTGTGTGCATATGAGTATGAATGTTTAAGGGTATATCTAGATAATTTTCTCAATTTTAAACTGAACTAAAAAAATAAATATATTTCTCAGTTTTGATCAAACCACTTTCCGGAATCAAGTCTTTTGTTCTTCTCTCCCAGGCTTCCTCCAAGGCAATAAGTGGTTCAAAATTCAGGCTATGGGGAGCTTTGTAAAACTTACTGAGCTATATACACTGAAGTGTTTACTCTCTGGTATGCATGTTACACATTTCAGTAAAAACATTAAAAATAAAAGAGCATTTCAAAAACCCAAACAAATCCTTGTATGGCAAGTATTCACTCATTCCTGACCTCCCTTTGGCTAATCCTATCTACCCTCCTTTAATAAATTCTGATTTCAAGGCTTCACGCTGAGCCCCAGGGCAAGGTGCTTATCTCAAACCACAGTATAGCAACCCCAGGCAGAAAGATGGGCGACTCTGGAGCACTTACCCCAAAGTCAAAGCAGTTGAAGGAAGAGTGAAAATAAAGGCGAGGCCCCATGCCATACATCTTCAGGGACATCTCCAGAAGGAAGAGCCCCAGAAACAGAAACTCTGCATAGTCTGAAAGCATTAAAGGCAGAAGCATTGGTTCCATGGATGGCACGGGCTCCTGTCCTCCTTGACCCAATCCCTACCACCCACGGAGGAGCCCTTAAGAGCGGTGGGACCCACACGGGCAGGACATCAGTGACCATAGACCTGGTCAATGCCAGGCAAAACCTCTCCTGGTCTGAACATGCTCAGACCCAGGCTGAGTTCCACAGTCCACAGGTCAGCTCTGCTCTCTTCTGACAGGTGGGTTTGTCACTACCATTTACGTGGCAGATGGCTTTCAGGAGAGAGAAAGGGCTTGAGCATAGCTTTGATGAAAGAGCTGGATTTCCTCTCCACACACCCAGCTGTGACAGCCTCTAGGAGACTCACCCGCATCCCGGGGCAGCCTTACCAAGGGTTGACCTTGGTTTCCTTCCTGGTCTGCTGAAGGTATCCATGTCCCTAAGAACTTGTCCCTAGGACTTGGGTGACCAAGACTCCCTAATCATTGAGCCTCCTGAAGGCACTAAGTGAAGGCCCTGGATTATGCAAGGTATAACACTATGTTGTTGACTCATCACTAAAGATTTATTTATCTGATTCAATAATGAAATGACAGCTGAAAACAGTCAAGGGATAATCCTGACCCCCTGAGGACAACTCTGGTGACAGCGTACTGGAGGCAGAGCTCTGGGCGGGCAGGACCACTGCCAAGCCCACGTGACACCTTGCTCTCTTGACATTCACACAGCAATCAGGTGGCAGCCGTGAGAGCCAGCAGTCACCATCACTTACAGAGGAGGTGGGTGAGCCACTGGGGCTGGTTGTGATGGACGATGGCCACACAGGCAGTGTTGAGAGCCACAAGGCTCAGCACGATCCAGTAAAACACCTGGGACTTAACCATGTGGCGGATAGAGATACGCAAAAGCCGCTCCTTGTGCCGGAAATAGGAGGCCCCATCCACCTTTGCGCTCTTGATGCTGGCTCGGGCGAGAGGTGTGCCTAGTGGGGGAGAAGGAAGGAGGAGGAATGAAGCTGCAAAAGAGGTCACCCTCCATGACAAAGGGGCATTCAGAGGTCCAGATGGGCAGCTTTGGTCCCAGGGCTAGGGGACTGCCACGTTGCAGACCCCAGGGCATCCCCACGTTATGAGCTAAGAGTTTTCACGGTGCAACAGGGAACTCTGCTTTTCCCCTGGGCACTCTTGGTCCTAGGAAATGGAAGGATTCCCCGGGGCAGGATAGCAGGCATCCAGCCGGTATCTTGAATCCTAATAGGATCCTGTTTATGTTTGTAACAGATTGAGCTTTTCTTTTTAAATATGCTTCAGGCACTGGAGTCATCCTGCTGCATTTGTGATTTTTCTACCCCTGGCAAACTGAAGCAGTGATGAGCTCCGGACGCCTCTTCTGCCTTTCAGGATGAAGTCAGACCCTTCCCTTTTTTTTTCCTGGAGAAGAAAAGTCTGCCATCAGCCAGACTCTCTAAGAGAACCTGGGATGGAACAGCCGGCAAGTTAAAGGGTTGTCAGTAGGAATCTGTTTAAGCATCACATGGGAGCAGGTGATGCAAGTAGGTAGATGTTACTATGATTAAGCAAATGATCGCAGTTTCTCATATGGGCGTCCTCAGTGAACAATATCCCAAAGTGGGTGCTCGTTAGCACATCCAGGAGAGACAGGATACACATGCTGAAGAGATACATCTGCCACATTGAAGAATCTGGGTTGGATTCTTGGCCCCAAACCCCATGTTTCACATAAACATTATCCCTTGGTCCATTTTATTTTATTTTATTTTCCTTTAAGTCACTGTTGATGAGATTAGATTCCAGTGCCTTTCCCTAATTATATCCCAAAGTTCTGGATTCTTTGGGCTCCCCTCCTCCTCCTTGTGGCATTTCTCCTAAGATAGAATGCTCCCTTTCACAGGAGGTCTGGAGCAGTGAAAGATGATCCGGCAACCTCCACTCACCCACAGAGGAGATGTCCACGCAGTGCTCGTCGCTGGAGTCCCGTGCCATGGCCTCGGTCCGGCTTCTTTTGATGGTTGCCCTCCGAAGCACTACACCAGGGAAGCAAGGGGCAGAGAGAGGACATGAGAACCACCAGATCAGTCTGGTCAAAACAGGACTGTGGCCTCATGGCACCTGTGACACAGGCACCTGCCTTTAAATACCAGAATCAGGGTGAGAGAAGTTACAAACGTCTACAGAAACGTGGCTCCCTTGCTCAGCAGCGCCTCTGACACATGAGGCTCTTGAATCCCATGCAACAAAGCTCCTGACTCCTTGTGGGAGCTCTTCTAAACACAGCAGGTAAACTGGCAACCTGTATCTATTTGTTCTGGCTCTTCATAAACAATGTCACTTCCTGCCAATGAAAGTGGTCCCAAGATGTCCCCCGCAAATTGTCAAAGAAGATCCCTTTCTGAACCACTGGTTGTATGATGGCCTTTTCATTGCCCATTATCAATCACACGCCCTGGAATGAAACAACTCTTGGCTTTCATTTTCATCACTTTAAAATGCATTTAAATCCATGACTCAATTCCCTTCCTTTTAAAGCATGAGGGATTTTATGACAGAGAGACTCGCATTTCAAATCCCAAAGCACCCCTCTTTTCTTTCTTTCTCCTCTTTTGATCAAGAGACATAGCCGCAGACGAGGGGCAGATGAGAGAGCAATGAGGCCTTGGAGCACTTCCTTACCTTCTAAGGCTGATGTTCCAGCATTTTTGTTTTCTTCAGCAAGCATGACTTCCTCTATATGGAAACAAATGGTTTAGTAAATTATCGGTAAATGCCAAATTATTTTGCGAAATGAAAATCCCTGAGGAACAGCTCTGGCTCCAGGGCAACGTGGAGAGACAGCGGAGTTCAGAGCTGGTTGCAGGCACCAGCATCAGAAAGACATCAAGGGTCACGGACGCAGCCCTGGAGCATCAGAACAGAAAGGAAGGTCTTTAACGAAGGGGGCGTCGGGGGTGATGGCTTAAGATTCAGCTCTTTGTTTGATGCACCGTTTAGGAGAATAAACAGCTCTGAGAGCGAGAGTTGATCTTTTTAACTAAAATCCTCCTAAATTGATAAAAATGAAAAATTTCCATTTCTGTTTTCTTTTATCCAGGTTCCTTAAAGCTATTCTAGCAACAGGAGCTCCCATGATTTTGCTTGTTTGCAGTAGCCCCCAGGTCATAACACCTCCCTTCATTCAGAAGATGAGACCACATTTTGGGGTCTAGCCTACTTCTTTCAGGAAGGGGCGTAGGAAGGTGCTCACGGCCCCTCAAAGAGAGGAGCAGGCTTGTGGGCTTGCTTCTTCTCCCCCCACCATGTCCATCCTGCCTTGTTGAGCAAAGCCTGAGTTGAAGAGGCTTCGGCCCATCATGAAATCGTCCCTGTGACATAATAAAATATAAATATTTGGTTTTTGTTCACCATTCAGGCACAGAGCTTCCAAAGCCCGTGGGATGTACTGTCTTTTGTATGCTAATGAGATGACTCACTGCGGGAGAGGCCTAGATAGTGTAAGGGGGGATGGTCACTCAGAAAACCACACCGCATGATTAGAAGGTTGTAGCTTTCAGGCTCATCCCCTTTCCCACCTCTCAGGAGCGGAGAGGGGCTTGACACTATCAGTCACCAATGGTCGATGATACAATCAATCAGGTCTGCATAAGGGAACCTCCATTTAAAACCCTACATGGGACTTCCCCGGTGGTACGGTGGGCAGGAATCTGCCTGCCAATGCAGGAGACACAGGTTTGATCCCTGGTCAAGGAAGATTCCACATGTCATGGAGTAACTAAAGCCCATATGCCACAACTACTGAAGACTGAATGACTAGAGCCCATGCTCCACAACAAGAGAAGCCCACACACCACAACGAGCGTAGCTCCCACTCGTCGCAACTAGAGAAAGCCCGAACGCAGGAACAAAGACCCAGCACAATCAAAAACAAATAAATGAATCATTTTAAAAAAATCAACAACACCAACCAAAAAAACCCCTACAGGATGGGGCCCAGGTTGCTGATAGGTTGGTGAGCCCATCAGGGTGCTAGGATGTGCCTGTAGGCTCGGTCATTCACCCATTATCCCTACCCTCTATATCATACCCTGTGTATCTCTTGAATTTGGCTGTTACTGACTTGTATTCTTCATAATAAACTGGTGATAGTTTTTCCTGAGTTCTGTAAGTCATTTCTAATGAATTATCAAATCTGGAACCCTTTGAATTTGTACTCAGCCAGGAAGAAGTCCAGGTCACCTGGGGACCCTTCTGTGGCTGGTGTGTGAAGGAGAGATGGGCACATGGGGTGGAGCCCTCTGCTTGTGGGGTCTGCACTCACTTTGGATGGTTTAGTGTCAGAACTGAATTGAATGGCTGGATACCCCACTGGTGCTAGAAAGGGAAAGACCTCGTTGGCATTGTGACAACATTATTTGGTTGTTGGCATTTGAAAAACAACCACTCTGTTCCCTGGACTCCCCTCTTGACCTCCCCAGGAGCAGCTGCACTCCACAGAGGTGTCATCATGGGTGAGACACTATTTTCTGCCAAGCCTTATTAGACTATGCCTTGCTAAAGAAGAGAAGCAAAAGGCAAAGGAGAAAGGGAAAGATATCCAATTGAATGTAGAGTTCCAGAGAATAGCAAGGGGAGATAAGAAAGCCTTAAGTGAACAATGAAAAGAAATACAGGAAAACAATAGAATGAGAAAGACTAGGGATCACTTCAAGAAAACTGGAGATACGAAGGGAACATTTCTTGCAAAGATAGGCTCAATAAAGGACAAAAATTGCAAGGACCTAATAGAAGCAGAAAAGATTAAGAGAAGGTGGCAAGAATACACAAAATAGGTCTCAATGACCAGGATAACCATGATGGTATGGTCACTCATCTAGAGTCAAACATCCTAGGATGTGAAGTGAAGTGGGCTGTAGGAAGCATTACTATGAACAAAGCTAGTGGAGGTGATAGAATGCTGGCATGAGTTGTTTCAAACCATAAAAGATGATGCTGTTAAAATATTGTACTCAATATGCCAGCAAATTTGGAAAACTCAACAGTAGCCACGAGACTGGGAAAGATCAGCTTTCATTCCAATGCCAAAGAAAGGGAATGTCAAAGAATGTTCAAACTACCATACAATTACACTCATTTCACATGTTAGCAAGGTAATGCTCAAAATCCTTCAAGCTAGGCTTCAGCAGTACTTGAACTGAGAACTTCCAGATGTACATGCTGAATTTAGAAAAGGCAGAGGAACCAGAGATCAGGTTACCAATATTCACTGGATCAAAGAAAAAGCAAGGGAATTGCTGAAAAACAGCTACCTCTGCTTCCTTGAATACACTAAAAACCTTTGACTGTGTGGATCACAAAGTGTGGAAAATCCTTAAAGAGATGGTAATACCAAACCACCTTGCCGTCTCCTGAGAAACCTATAGGCAGGACAAAAAGCAACAGTTAGAACTGGACATGGAACAATGAACTGGTTCAAAATTGGGAAAGCAGTACATCAAAGCTGTGTGCTGTCACCCTGCTTATTTAACTTCTATGCAGGGTACATCATGTGAAATGTTGGGCTGGATGAAACACAAGATGGAATCAAGATTGCTGGGAGAAACATCAATAATCTCAGATATGCAGATAACACCACTCTAATAGGAGAAAGCAAAGATAAACTAAAGAGCCTCTTGAAGAAGGTGAAAGAGGAGAGCAAAACAGCTGGCTTAAAACTCAACATTAAAAAAACTAAGATCACGGGAACTGGTCCCATCACCTAATGGCAAATAGATGGGGAAAAAATTGAAACAGTGACAGACTTTATTTTCTTGGGCTCCAAAATCACTGAAGATAGTGACTGCAGCCATGAAATTAAAAGACTCTTGGTCCTTGAAAGAAAAGCTGTGACAAACCTAGACAGTGTATTAAAAAGCAGAGACATCACTTTGCCAACAAAGGTCTATATAGACATCCATATAGTCATGTATAGATGTGAGAGTTGGACCATAATGAAGGCTGAGTGCAGAAGAATTGATACTTTTGAACTGTGGTGCTAGAGAAGACTCAAGAGTCCTCTGGACTGCAAGAAGATCAAAACAGTCAATCCTAAAGGAAATCAACCCTGAATATACATTGGAAGGACTAACGCTGAAGCTCCAACACTTTGGCTACCTGATGCAAAGAGCCAACTCACTGGAAAAGACGCTGATGCTTGGAAAGATGGAAGGCAGAAGAAAGGGGAGATGAGATGGTTGGATGGTATCATTGACTCAATGGACATGAATTTCAGCAAACTCTGGGAGCTAATGGAGGACAGTGAAGCCTGGTGTGCTGCAGTCCATGGGGTCACAAAGAGTCTGGCATGACTTAGCAACTAAACAACAAGACAACATCTCTCAAATGTATCAACAAAACAGACCTTCTGTCGCACATATAGTAGGATTCTGAGCCCCCTATTGAGAGTGGTGTCGATGAGCTTAGATCCCCACTCCTGTCTCAGCCATAAGGGAGGGGACCTGGAAGTGCCAGCAATCATTCCCTGAGATCCCAGCTGCTGGGGATAAGCCTGCAGCAGTTCTATTAAGCAATGGTTTCATTTAAGCACTTCTAACAAGTACAAAGACAAGCATAAAAGGGTAAAGTTATTACCATAATTCCACCTGCATATAAAACTGAGAGTACGTAATGTATTTCCCAGGGAGGGGAGCATGTTGAGGCTCGGAATGTACCACACAGGATGGCCATTATAAAGTCATAACATTTAGCTTTCTTTTTTAAGTACAGCCCTCTGGCAAAACTAAGTTAACAGGTTAAGTGTTATTGGTGGGATGCTTCTTGATGTGCACATAGAAGGTTTGAAAGTCACTGACAGCACTGGCTTTTGGAGGCCATCCTTTCAAAATTAGGTACTTGTTAAATACCTCAGAGCAACATGAATGACCTCAGCCAGAGAGTCTTTTTCACTCTGCACAGTGTCTGGGCTTTGGGGTGGGCAGATCCGAGGACCCCCGAGGCAGAAGGAGGGTGGATGGTGCTGTTGAGTACTTCTGGGGAGCTCTCAAGGGCTCCTGATGGGCTGGCACCACCCCCTCCCCCAATGTCTTTTGCCAAGTTCGCCCTGGAACTTGTGAGTGTCTTTCCAGGGAAACGTAACCCATATGTCTCTGAATCACTCACGCTCCATTTGTAAAGGAAAGGGCCAGGAAGCAACAATTTGACGTCGCAGTGCGTCTTTTTTTTCTTAGAAGGAGACGAGAGCAGGCTTTGCCAACTGGAAGAAAGTGAAGCCTTGGAATTCTGCATGTATTTTGAAAAGCAGAGCCGCAAAGAGCAACATCCCGAGCCCCCTGACCCTGACGGGGGCCGTGGGAAGGGCACAGAGGGTTGTCTTTGGGGTTTGCTGCCAGCCTGCTCACTAGGGTGGTCTGTCCCAAGGGCAGTTGGGAGCTTCAAGCTGCCAGGCTGGCCTGGAGGCAAATCTGTTGAGTTACTGTTCTGAGAAGAGGGAGGGAAGATTCAAGTCCACGTCCACACAAGAGTCTCAGAGGAGCAAGGATGAAATGGGGAGTACAGTCACCACTCCATGGCTCTTGCTTCCAGAAGCAGCAAAGAAATGCAGATAGTCCCAAATGAGGAGTGGCTTTTATTTGGCTTTGGCATGGCACTTTGCATCATACCTGCTCTCTCACCTGACAGGTGATCAAACGTTGACTCCTGAGCTGAGAGAGCCTGTATGGTCAGGCTCTCTGGTCAGAATAGGAGTCATAGCATCCATCATTCCAAAGCTTAGAGAAGAATAAGGGTCAGGCCACTAAGTACCCAATCCTATTCCAAATTCTTCCCAAGAGATCTCTTTGTGCTCTGCTTTTCTACCAGGAACAGAGCTAAGATGCCGACTGTTATGCTTTTTTCTTTTTTTTAATTAAAAAAAATGTACTCTTTGTTCAGTAAGAAAATGAAGATATATAACACCAATGCAATGCAACCTTTAAAATAACAAGGAAAGCAAATGTATTCTCTTTACTGACAGATATGGGGTGATCGACGCCCCTCATAAACAGCAGAACCACAGCCACTCTTGAGTTTGGAGGCTCTTTGTGGGTTCATAAAATCAGGATAAACCTGGACCTTTCCTCAGGGCTGGGCAACAATTATTCCTGAGGCTGAGCCATGAGTGAGGAGCTGATGACAGCAAGAACAGGGAAAACCAGTTCTCGGCATCATCTCTTAGCTGGCCTACTGTAGTAGTCTATCGGTCTCCCTGCTCAGGCCCAGGTCTTCCTACCGTCTGTTCTCAATGCAACAACCAAGTGCTTCTTTAAATCTTAAACAGAGCATGTCCCTTCTCTGCTCAAGACCCTCCTGCGGTTCTCACTTGACTCACAGGAAAGCCCTGAACTTTACAAGGGCTGGTAAAGGTCCTACAGGCTCTGCCGCCTGCTCCCACCATGAGAATGCCTTCATCCCAGCTTCTGCCCTCCCCTGCTCACACCTCAGGCAGTTCCTGGAGCCCTCTGGGTCTCCTCCCATACTGCAGCCACGACACTGGGGTATGCTTCTTTCAGGGCTCCCTGCAGCTCACCCTCTCATCTCCTTCACATCTCTCCCCAGAGAGGTCTACCCTGACCCTCCCTTTAAAACTGCAACTCACCCTAAACCCCTAGCCCTACCTTGATCTGTTTTCACTGTACTTGAAAGTGGAAACTTTTGTCACTCAGACGTATCCAACTCTTGTGACCCCGTGGACTGTATGTAGCTGTCAGGCTCCTCTATTCATGGGATTTCCCAGGCAAGGATACTGGAGTGGGTAGCCATTTCCTTCTTCAGGGGATCTTCCCAGCCCAGGGATTGAACCCAGGTCTCCTGCATTGCTGGTGGATTCTTTACCATCTAAGCCACCAGGAAAGCGCTTCATTGTACTTATTACCCTATGAAAAATTACTCCTTATTTTGTTCATCACTGTCTTCCCAGCTATAGGGTAATTGAGCTCCACGAGAGTCGAGCTCTGGCTCACTGCTGTATCACAAATGCCTGGACTTGGCACAAAGTACACCCTCAATAAATATCCGTGGACTGAACAGACTATTGTTAGTAGTAACGGTAGTAGTGTGAGATGGCATCATCCCAGACTTCGCTCTTGCACTGGGTTACGTGATCTTTTACTCAGCTCACCTTGCTGAAATGTCTGCCTCCTGAAAGGTGTTTGGTAGAAGAATAGGGACAGACTCCAGAGGGAGAAAATGGGACCAGTTGGGAACCCCCAAAGCCAACGAGTCATTTCCAGCTTCTCTCTGCCCTGGTCTAGACTGGCCCTTTGAGCGGAAGTACTGGGAATGGGTACTGGGGTAGGTCCCAGATGTCTGTGCAGCCCATCACCAACCTCCTCCAGCCCCCAGGTCTTACCTGCTTTGTCTATCCAGGCGCGGTACCCATTCAGCTCACGCTCGATCTGCTGCTGGCGCCGCAGTTTCATGAAGGCTCTCCGGTTCTCCACTCTTTCTCTCTCTTTGGCAAATTCCCTGTGGACAAAGCAGATAGGATTCACTAGGTTTGGGCAGTGCCATGACCAAAAGAAAGGGTGAAGCAAGCAGGAGAGTGAGTGAGTGAGCAGGCACTGTGTATACCCCATTTCCTTTGTCCCAGCCTGCAACTATAATCTTAAAATGTTGCACAGAAATAAACTGTGTTCAGCCTCTTGCAGGAAGTCTTCTCAGATCAGTTTCATTTCAGTCAGCACTAAAACTTTCTGCTTGCTCTAATTTTTCTTTTTTTTCAATATAAATTATCTTCTTGAAATAAAATGCAATAAAGATAGAAATAAATAACAAAAAGACAACTAGAAAACACTCATATTTGGAAATGAATGAATACACCATTAAGAAATCCCTCAATCAAAGAAAAAAATTAAATAGAAATTAGAAAATAACTGAATCATACATATAAAACTTGTACTATGAGTATATATCAGGTTCTTGGAAAGAAACTTACACTAGAATACTATTTTAAAAAGCTGATATTAATAACATTTGCATTAATTTCCTTTTTTGTACTTATAAAGGTGAGAATTATTTTTTTTTAATCTTATTGGAGTATGGTTGCTTTACAATGTTTTTGCTGTATAACAAAGTGCCCGATCTCATCTGCTTGCTCTGTTTTGAAAGCTACTGATTTAGTAATGTGACGAGCTAGGTTCCAGAATGCTATATATTATGTGGCTCTGGCTACAACAGAAACTCAACCCTCTGAGGGGTCAAACTATCCTTTATGCTTTTAATAACAACAGTGACTACTGTCTATTGAGTGATGATTATGTGCCAGTCCTATATGAAGTTTTTCATATCCATTAATTCATTTGATCTTCACAATCACCCTATGAAGTAAGCACTATTAAAACCCTATTTAACATATAGGGAACCAAGGCTTAGGGGAGGGCAGTCACTTGTCACTTACTGGGATCTGAACTCTACCCATAATTCCAGTGGCCTGACCCACTGGGCGTGGTGCTTAGTATGCGCTGCCACTGAAGACCATGACACCGATGCCCTGAAGGGCTGAAATGCTGTTTGAAGATGGCTGGTCAAGGTTGGATAAGAAAGGACACAGAAAGGGAACACAGCTCCAGAAGAAAGAAAGTGGGAAGATGGGGTGGGGTGGAGGGGAAAACAAGACAGGGGGATAAAACCAGCATGAGGGTCAGACGGAAGACACAGCTACCTAACAGCGGACAGAGTCACTCTGTGGCAAAAGATGATTAAAACAAACAGAACAACCCAGAAGGAAAGTTATGACCAACCTAGATAGCATATTAAAAAGCAGAGATATTACTTTGCCAACAAAGGTCCGTCTAGTCAAGGCTATGGTTTTTTCCAGTGCTCATGTATGGATGTGAGAGTTTGACTGTGAAGAAAGCTGAGTGCCGAAGAATTGATGCTTTTGAATTGTGGTGTTGGAGAAGACTCTTGAGAGTCCCTTGGACTGCAAGGAGATCCAACCAGTCCATCCTGAGATGGACCTGGGTGTTCACTGGAAGGACTGATGCTGAAGCTGAAACTCCAATACTTTGGCCACCTGATGTGAAGAGCTGACTCACTGGAAAAGACCCTGATGCTGGGAGGGATTGGGGGCAGGAGGAGAAGGGGACGACAGAGGATGAGATGGCTGGATGGCATCACCGACTCAATGGACATGAGTTTGGGTAATCTCCGGGAGTTGGTGATGGACAGGGAGGCCTGGCATGCTGCGATTCATGGGGTCGCAAAGAGTCGGACACGACTGAGCAACTGAACTGAACTGAACTGAAAGCCCTATGGGAAAAAGAAGAGAGAAGAGGAATGAGGATTTCCTGGCAGACAGGAAGATGGCGAGATTCAACGAGTGAGCAAATGGGGATCAAGAAATATTCACTGGCTAGTAGGCCACTCTGGAAGCCACATTTGCACCAATGCCTTTCTCATCATCAAACACCCTTCCAGCCAGAACACCCCTTGCTAGCGCAGTGCCTCCCAGCCGTGGCTCATGCATTCTCCTACTGCCCTGAAAGCTGTTCCACTTATTCACGGGCTCTCCATCAACAAAGAGCAGCAACCCGAGATAACAGATTCCAGCACCCACTGAGGGTCCTGCTACCTACTCCCTCATGTCCAGGGAGGAGGAGAGAAACCAGGGGCGAAGGGACATGCCCTGGCCCCAGGGCAGGAGAGGGAGGGTGCCAATCTACTGTGAGGCAGGGGGATACCAGGTCGTGCTTCATCTGGCCTCTCCTTCCAAGACAGAGGGGACTCCTTGGGCAGAGGCACCTTACAGAGGTCACAGTCAGGCTAAGGGCCGGGACAAGGCAGAAAGGAGAAATTAGAAGGAGAAATCCTCCTGGACTTGGTGTCAGATTCAGTAGGTTCTCCTAAGGGTGTCTTGAGGGATGGAAGAGTTGATTAGGACCAGTGAGAGTCAGGGTAACAGAATTTAACCCTGGAGCACCTCTTTTTTCCACTGACTTTTCTGGATTTCAGCAAGTAAGAAAGTAACAAGGAGCTAGCTTGGTTCATGGTGTTACCACCTACCAAAGTTCTTACCTTTGGTTCTTTGTCTTTCTATCCCTGTCATTGTTTTGTTGATTCTATCTTCAAAATGGCACTTGGATCCAACCTCCCTCCTCATTCTTACTGCTTTGGTCTAAGACCTCATCTTTTCCTGCATGGACTACTGAAATAGCATGTACCTGGTCTCTAGGCCACCTGCCTCTCTTCCCTTCATTTCATCCATTTCACAGCAACTAGTGTCATCTTTCTAAAATATGCACTGGATCTTACCATGTCCAAACCTAAAATAACAACCAGAGTGAGTGACATTTGTGGAGCACTTTCTAACTTCCAAGTACCTGCATCCATTTTGTGCATTTAATCTTTACAACCAAAACGAGAAGGCGGCAAAACAGGTATTTTCAGCCTCAACTTAGAAGTTAAACAACTCATTAAAGTTTAACTAAGAGATGGAGCCAGGTTTGGAACCCCAGGCCTCTCCGCTCTAAGAGCCCAGGTTCCCCATATATCTGCCTAGCCCAGAGGCATATTTATATGCAGCTTTCTACCTTTTCATACGTGTGTGCCTTCATTTTTCAACTATGCCCTAGGAGAATCCAGGAGGGCTTAGCAGGATGCAGTATTTTGAGCAGGACCTTGAAATAAGAGAATTTAAGCACACTATGGGGCTTCCCAGCTGGCTCAGTGGTAAAGAGTCTGCCTGCCAATGCAGGAGACATGGTTCAGTCCCTGGATCAGGAAGATCCCCTGGAGGAGGCAACCCACTCCAGTATTCTTGCCTGGAGAATCCCATGGACCGAGGTGCCTGACAGGCTACAGTTCACGGGGTCACAAAGAGCCGGACACAACTGAGCACACACATACATAGGCGAGCTATGAGCAGAGAAACACAATAATCCTTTAGCGTCTGCATTATTACCAACATCTCCATTTTCCAGCTCAGAACACTGAAGCTAACGGGAGTTAAGGGGTCGTTTGAAAGGTCAAGTATCCTAAAATACAGTGCCACTAAGAGGAACCATGACCCTCGGATCCTATAAATTCCCTCTTCTATCTTCTCTTCCTTCACATCTCCTCCACCAGCTGCTAAATACCTAACAGACCTTTCACAGTCCTTCATGGTTAGATCTGGACCTTTCTTTCAAATCTCACCTCCCATCAATCCGATCTACCTCGTGCTTACCTGCAGCCCCACTAGAGCCAAGCTCCAGCCCCAGCACACTTCCCACGGTTCCTGAAAGATCAATGAGGGATCTAAAGGTTTAATTCACACTGCCTAGAACCCAGCCTTACCTGCCTGAGTCTGTTAAAATCCTTCAAGGCCAGGTTGAAAGGTCACCTCTAATGTTTAGCTTGCCCCTCTACCTTGCCTCCAGTCTCCTGACCTCGGCTGTATACCTTCCCTCTGTCTCTTCATAGCTCATCTTACAGCCAGATCTCTACAGCAGTGAGCTATACATGTGACTGTCTCTCTCCCTCTCTGTGAGCTTTTTGTGGAAACATTCTGTCTTACTCAACTTTGCATCCTCCAGGACTAGACTAGGCCTGGTGTATGGTACTTATTTAATAGATTTTTTTTTAATGACAATATCTAGGCTGACTCGAAAACCATACTGATAGATCTGCCCTGAATTCCAAAGGCTTAGATGAAGGGACGCAGCATCTCTGCACGGATCCAATCAGAGCCAGGTGAACTAACGAAAACACAGCAGTTGCCAGGTAACTCCTGGACACGGCCACCACTGTGCTTCTTTGCTTGGCTCCACTAAAATCTCTGTAGCATTAGTCTATGAAGAGTGCAGTATATCACCTCTACCCAATCCCCAGAATGACCATGTGGCTTCATTTCCGGAAGGAGAGGCAAGTCATCCCAGCCTAATCTCTCTTTATCTTTGGAAGTTTCCTGGCTCCAGTCTCACCAGCTGGTTTCCCTGCTCTCCTCTGCCACTGCAGGCCCCCGTTTCCTCCCACCCTCCCACCTGGCATCCTACAGGCCCAGAGCCCAACAAATCTGGCTTGGACTTTTTAAGAAGCCTCTTGGCTAAAAGAAACAGAGTGTGCACCAACAGGGAAACTTTCTAAGCAGCTTTCTGCTCGCCAGTGGAGGGGAAGAGGGGCTGTGTTTGGAGGCCTTCTGTATTACGTTTATCCATCAGCTTGTTCTGTTTTTCAGATGGGAGCCCAGGGCACAAGGTGTGGCACCACACCATTCACGGCACTTCCCAGCCCTCCCGTGCTGTCAGGGTTTTGGCCAAGGCTCCTCTCTCTGACGGGTCTGCAGGTTCCATGAGGCCAAGCAGAGTCGGACTCACACCACATTCCAACAAGGACCTGGGAAGTTTAACCCTCAGCCGAGTATTACAGCAGATAGCACAGATTACAAAAATAAAACATTAAGGACACCTAATGTTCATAAGCCACATCTGTAAAAGTCTCATTTTCTAAATCACTTTCATGTACATTATTTCATGTAGATTTGCGGA